ATACAATACTTGTAACACAGTGCCAAGTCACAACACAAGGTCAGGGCTCAGGATAGCGATGCAGGAACATGAAATGCTCAGTGGTGGGATTACCTGGTGGTCTAAAACAGCTCAATGACAATGAGGCCTTTGCATGAGCAGGATATGAGTGAAAATAAGAGAATTTCCTTCAGTAAACCTGCAAGTCAAACAAGGAGCCTCAAGATGAGGTGCCCACCTGGAGCTACAGCACAATGGTAGCAGGTCTACTCAAGGACTTGTCTGACTCCTCCCACAAGAGCACGGGAACATCCAGCACTATCAAGAATTGCACTGAAGAGAAGAAAAGTAGTGTGTGCGTGGAGTAGCTCACTCCTCACCACAGATAAAATTAATCAGAAAGGGTTTTGTGTTGAGACAAGACCTGTCCTCCTTACAGCTTCCATTTACATGCTGCAGCCAAATGTGGCTGTCCTCAGCACTGCAGGCAAAGCTGCAGACTTGAGTCACTACTGAAAGCAGCCACAAAAAGCAGCAGTCTAACCAGAGAAAATTTAAAGGACAAGGAACCCAGCGGCACCTGCCCAGCCTCCTCCCGTACCCACCTTCTTCAGGATTTTCCCTTTCCCTGTATGAAAAAAATGGGCAAAAAGAGCTAGGGTGTACCATGTAACAGCCGAGCGGGTGGAAGAGATGAGACTACCTCTCTCCTCCTTGCCCATCTTGTAAGGAGTGAGTATGTTCTCTTTAAGTTCAGTGATTTCACTGTGGGATCAGTTTTGACTGAAGATCTGTTTTAAAAAGGAAGGATTGTCCCAACTTGTTTTTGATTGAAGACTATATTGGTTTGTGCCCCTTCTAATCCCATTTGGTGCCTCTAGAGCCTCTTGGTCATCAGTTTGTCCCATTCCACTTTAACCATTCAGAACTGGACCCAGTTGGACTGTTGAGGAGCCTGATTTGGAACAGCACTGAAATAAAGAGAGAAGAATCAAAGGAGCAGATCTAATAAGACTTCTCAGCTTACAGCTCTTCCAGTGCCCATCTGGACACTACCCTTCTTGTCTTCAGCTCTCTTCACCACAGTTTACCTGGATGCAGTGCTGAAGTCTCCCCAGAGGTCTGTGGTAGCTGATGCTGGTGCCTTGGATGCAGATGCAGGAGCATCTAAGTCTAGTAGAATATCTGAAGCAAATTAAACAAAAAAAAAAAAAACAACAAACAAACCAAAACAAAAAAAAACAAACCAAAACAAGCCAAATCAAGCTAATGAGGTAGAAAACCCACAGGCATTTAAACTATCACAACTGCTCAAACTGATATATACAAACTGCCGGATACAGGGACAGAAAAGAGACTCCAGCCCGCCCCCTGGAATAAGGAAGTTAGGCTTTTTAAGGTTTTTGTTGTAACAGCTCCTTTTGCTGAACGTGCACAGAGACTCCCGCTCACACTACGGGGGTACATCATTTTCAAGAACTCTTCAGTCCATCACCCCTTGTCCTGTTGTTACAGTCCCCAATGAAGAGTCCCTCTCCAGCATTCTTGTAGGCCCCCTTCAGATACTGGAAGTCCTCTCTATGCACCTACTAGTGTCTGACAAACTGTTGGCTCTATGCTAGTGTTTACCTGCACTGCTCATGTTACTGGATTTCAGCACAGGTGGAGGTGTGACGTGGTTAGCAATGGCTGTGGAAGAAGGTGGAGGTATAGGAGGGACAGCAATTTTGCCTCCTGGTGGAGGCGGCAGCAGGCTTAGGCCCCCTGATCCAGAGACACGGGGCTTGGCTGCTCCTCCCTTCTTTGTTGTCATGTTCTGTATAAAAAGAAAGGACAAGTGAGGAAAAGTCTCCACTGGCATATCCAAAGAAAGAAGCAGGGTAAACTGGGCTGCTTACCCCAATGTTCAATTTGATGGTCTGCCCTTCCTTAAACCCCAAGTCTAATTTGGGACGTGTTTCAGCTTCCTGGGACTCCTTGGAGATCTCAGACTCCTGTTTCACCCACCTAAAAAACACAAGAGAAAGACATAAGATCCTGCAGCAAAGCAGAACAGGGTTTCAGATAAACACATACCTGGTTCCTCTCCCCATCCTGCCAAAGATCTACCTCGTGCTGTCAAACCAGCTACCTCCCTACTCCCAGCGTAGCTCAGCAGAAAGTTGGGACCACCGCAAACCTAAGAGACTGTCTACCACTGCACCTGTAGCATCACAGGACCTAAGCTTAGAACTTACAGATCTGACCTTGCAGGACTCAGCCTGCATGATAGAGCCATAGTAGGGCTTCATGATCATCCCAAGGAAGCCTGTGCTAAATTAACATACACCACCACCCGCCGCGTTCTACAGGCCAGAGGAAAAACAGCATTCCAGAAAAGCACAACTCACTTGAAGTGATCTTGCAAAGAGACGTTGAAGTCAAAGGCATCACCACGATCCGTGAAGCCAATGCCTATAAAAGCACTTCGTCCTAGCAAGGAGACAGGAGTCGTCATTGGAGGTGCCCTGCCTGCAACTGCGCTCTTGTGTTCATTCACTCCATAATCCCTCTGCTTCTCCTAAACCACCCTATGCTACCTCCCTCTGACACCAGCAGCTCACAGCAGTTCACTGTTCCTAGCCTTCAGGATGCACCCTTCTTCCCAATGGTAGTCTCAGAAACTGAACATCCCTTCCCAGGCCCTGCAATCTGTACAATCTGAGAACCCTCCTCTGTTAACCTTACCTTCCTACCCCTCCAGGCACACTACCCAGGCTTTTCAGCACTCCCAACACCATTTTAATCCACCTGACAGACATCCAGCTCCATACGGTTGAAGTCTCCTTCACCCCTAACACCTCGCACATACATAATCCCCCAACTCACCAGTCCCATCCTGAATTCGAATGACAAAATAGCGGCTGGAATCTGTCACAGTCTCTACTGCAATGCCAGGGTATTGATCTATAGGAGCCTGGGCGAAGAGTTCTCCTGCACATAAAGAACTAGGTGTTAAGAAGAGCAACCCTGTGGTAAACCATGGCCAGGGCTGCCATGCACAGCTCTGAGCAGGCTTAGAAGCACAGGCTCATAAGCAGCAATCACGGTCGCAGTCTTGCCAAGCCACAGCTTTTCCCTTACCTGAAACCTTATCCTCCAGTTTTATGTATGCAGTTTTGCCTTTGGAAGTGACACGAAGCCGTCCTGTCCAGTCTGGATGGTCCAGTTTCCAGTCAGATGCCCTGAAAAGAAAAGCAACTGTTCACTGACCATCAACCCCTTCACTTCTGCCCAACCATCTTATCAAAAGCCTCTGCTCCCAAACCTTTAACATGCGCAGCTGCTTTATTCCACTTCTGTCCCCAAACAATACAGAGGGTCTCAGCTCCTCTCTGTTGCTGCCAACTGACACACTTGGCTCTGACTGGCCCCTCTTTCCTCTAAGTAAATGGAAATAGATACAGTCCAGAGAACAACTCTGTCTTTACCTTTATAAACTTGCAGAAGAGGCAAGACAAACTCAGACATTCACTTAGAACAGTAAAGCCAAAAGCAACTAATATGTGACTTGTGAGCATCAGGAAGACCACAAAAATTAATTAATAGCATGCTGAAAACCCACTCCATTATTCTATCCTATTGTTGTAAAATAGTATCAAGTACTTGAACCTAGAGGCAGCTAGCTTACATTAGGTAAAACATCATACACACAATCATCTTGATTATCCCATCAAAGTCTTTGCTACAGACTGTTGTGATGGGGAAAAAAAAAGGGAAAAAGAGATAAAATCCCCAACCTACAGGATTTTACAACTGAAAACAAACATCTATGTTTGTTAGCAGCAACAGCCTGCCAAAGTCTTGAGTACCACCAACATCCATCAGCTCCTCAGAGCACAAGCCCTGTCCGTTCTCCAGGAAGTCTGTGGGCACAGCTTGGTGCACACTGCACTGGTTTCGGTCCATGACAGAAAGTATTTCTAACTCCTGGTCCTGCAATTTCTTCTGAAAAAAATCATGCTTAACACTTGGCTTCCTCCCTGCTGCTGTGAGAGCCAACAGGCCAAATTCAATGTGCCATTACATCATATTACATTCCAGGGAACCGGGCATATTAGGAGCTAGGAGGAGCAAGCTGCTCAGGTACCCTCACCTCCTCCACACGAGCAGCCCTTGCTCTTCCACAGCACGGAACAAAGGCTCCTGCTGTTAGGAGCGGACAACCCACAACTGGCAACTCAAGCCGGTATGTCCCCAAAGCGGCGGCCGCAGGGCACCAAGTAAAGCCGCAAGGCACAGGCCTGGTTTGCTCGCGGCCGCAGGCCACGGCTTCCCAAGGCCCCACTCGGGGCGAGGACAGCTTTGCCCGGGGGCCCAGGCCCAACCCGCGGCTGCCCTGCTCTCCGGCCTGAGGCCCCATCCCCACGGGCAGGGCTGGATGGACCGTGCAGTGCCGAGCCGAGGCAGGGAGATTCTAGCTGCCACACGCTCCCTCACCTGTACCCGCGGTTGGAAGTTCGCGGCGGGATGCGGTAGACGTTGACATCGGGCTTCACGCAGAGGACGGACTCGTACTCCAGCTCAGCCGCCGCCATCTCGCCCGCGAACCCCAACGACCAGGCGAGGAGCGAGGTGGGAGGCTAATAACCAGGGGTGCTTCCGACCGCCATCTTAGATGAGGGCAAACGCCGCCTGGGGCCGCTGGGGCGCCGGGCAGGAAGCGAGGCACGTCAGACTGGCGGAGGAAGGCATCTTAGATCCTGGCAGCAAAGAGCGGGGTGGGGAGGCGACCATCTTGAAGCCGATTCTGACACAGCAGCGGGGACTGGCACCATCTTGGACCCTGGCAATTCCCCTACGGCAGCCATGTTTGGTTCGGGCTGATGAAGTGGTGCCGGGCGCCATGCTGGAGCTGGGCGGAGTGGGCGGGCTAAGGCGCCCTGGGAAGCCGAGGTTCCCGCCCTGGGTGTTGGGAAGGCCCTGAAGGGCGCGGAGCGGGGCCTCTCGCCAGCCCAGTGCGCGGGTGTTGGGGGGGGATGTCCGCCGGCTGCTGTTGTTGGAGCACCGGTGTCACCAAGCGAAAGGCGCTGGTGTCGCGCCGGGAGCTGGGAAGCCACGTCTGGGACGTGCCGAAACACGGGGCTGGGGTTTGTGCTGCCGCGTGAATACCTGCTGGGGGCTTGTAGATCCCTGCGTGCCCTCAGTGCCTTCTCCCCAGCGTGGCTTTCTTTCCTGCCGACTCGGGTTAAAGCTTGTGTTTTAAGTGAAAATGGGTTTTTGTGTAGCCTGTAGTGCTTTTGCAGCCTTTGGTAAAATCACAAACCAAAGAGAAAATGTGGCATAAACCATTACAAGTTTTGCAACTGGAAGTGGTGACTGTTGTTACACAAAGGTTAATTTCAGGAGTGTGACTTTCCGGAAATGTGGCCAAGATAAGTGTATAGTTACTAGTTTATTTAACAAATATGATAAGGCAAATAGCACTTAAACTAGTTTTTTTAATCGTGACTTCTCACGGAAGACTGGTGTTGAAGTTCATGCTGTGCAGTAGCCTGTGGCTGAGTATGTAAAAGAACTAAAGTTTACTCTGAAAACAGGAAGAAAAGGCATAAGAAAAGCTACAAAGTTCTATATCTATGTAGCCAGGGATGGGCATAACATGGGCTAATTGTGCTAGGCAGTCATTTAAGCTCTCCATGGAAGACTGGCTGAGCACAGATTATTGGTGAGTGTAAAGCAAACAACGAATTAAACAGCTAAGTTTAAGGAATTCCTTTATTTTTTTCCCCTGCTATGGATCGCATTAGTTGATGCAGCAAGAGCTGAAACCATATCTGGAGTTTTGTTTCCTGCTGTTTCCAAAGAGAAGTAGAACAGGATGGTAACAAACCTCAATCATAGCAGTCAAACAAGCTGTCCTTCTGTCAGGCCAAACATCCAACTAGCCCAGCACTGTATCTCTGATGCTGCCCAGTGCAGAAAAACTTTGAAACAAAGAAAGGGAGCCCACTGATTCCATGGATGTGGTAAGTACTGTTTTGGGGACGACAGGAATAGTATTGAGTTGCTGAGACTAGCAAAGTAGGATACATGCAATTTAACAAGCATATCTAAGTGCCACAGGCCTAGATTTCCCCAGAAATGATACTGACAGCTGTTTGAGCAGATACATAGGAAAGCCTTGTGAGTGGCGTGAGCTAAGCACATGAACAGATATGGAATGACATGATGTGCAGCTTCCTTTTCCCCTTCCCTTCTGCCAGCTGACAGGGTGCCTTGCCAAGCTGCATGCTGGGGTGGGCAGACAGATTTGAACCATTTCATGCACCCTGCACAAGAACTCGTAGGAATACACAGCACCAATACTCAATGCAGGTACGTGCCACAGTGTAAAAGAAGGCTCTGCCTCCCAGCTTTTGCAATATGTCACTGTTACGTTGCTTGCCAGACTGCCAGAATTAAGGCAAAGAAGCCAAATGAGAGACAAACCTTGGAGAACAGAGCTGCTTAAAGAAAGCCTATGAAACAGTACAGAATTACTTTCCTACTATACTAGCTTCACAGTGTAATACAAGAGCTTTGTGTGGGCCAGGAGCTTGTGTGCATTTGTTAGTAGTATTTTATAGGGTTTTGTTCTGTGTAGATTCATCTACTTGGGTTTTTCTTTAATTTATTTATACTTCCGGTTATCCATATCATCCCTGGAGCCATGAATCTAATTGTGCAACATGAAAAAGTGTAATATTTTTGTTTTCAAACTTCTACCTGATAATTCTGTGTGTCCTAGTTCTAGTGCTGTAAGAATTTATGTCACCTTCATGTGTCTCTCATACTGCTACCTAGATGTTTCTTTCCCAAGGTGAATCATTCTCATCTATTTAGCTTGTCCACCAAAAGAAGCCATTCTGAGTTATGTCATAATTTTCTGTATCATTTGTGATTCTCTAACTGTTTTTAAGATTGAGGACCATTGCAGCATTCAATATTCAAGAAGCAACTGAATGCTTGTTATATTTAACCTTTTGATTAGTACTGTTTTTCACAGATCTTTCTGCAGTAACTGCTAAGTTTTTTCTTTGAATAGTAATAACTTATTTATATCACTCTATAGTTATGGTTGCTTTTCCAAATTCAGTAATTCACAATTGGCAATATTAAATTTCACCTGCTTCTTTATTGTAGTGTCATTCAGTGTGACACCATCTTCCCACAGTTCTAGAAGGAGAAAATCTCAGATGAGAGTGGCCAAGGGCCAACTTCTGTAAGGCATATGAGGACAGATGCACAAGCAGCACTAGGGCACTGGGAATACATCTGCCATTCAATTCCACTAAGATTTAACTAGCAGAGAACATAACATTTTCTTTTATAAACAAGCATCTCTGGACCTAGAAAATACAAAGCATTGCCAAAAATAGCTAAAGTTTTGGGGTTTGTTTTGTTTGTTTTTTAAAGGATTAAGTAGTGAGGTTGAAATCTTGAAGGAGAACATATTTAAACTCGGACTATGAAAGCAATGGAGGATTCATATTCTTCCCTCAGAGAAATCTTCAATGATTGAAAACCAAGCAGTAGCAGAAATCTTAGCTGGGACTCCACAATGTTCAATCATACAAGGTGTGCAAATAAAAAGGCCTGCAAAAGCAGAGTAAAATGTCCATGCCAATCCATAGGTAGCCTCATAATAAACCATGCAGAAGAATTATTTGGGCTTTTGTTTTGCATTTGTTTTGCTTATGTAAGGAAAAAAAGGCATTGTCCAAGAATGGATAGACCATATATTTGGAATTTTCCTTCTCTCTCCAGAAGGTACAGGGGAACCAGTCTCACAGAACAACTCATGAGATAACTTAAAGGTTAATCTCAAGATTATTTTTACAAAACAGTCCAACTACTATTACAAATGGTGTTTCCTTCCCAGAAAGTGCTCTGGCAAAACGCTGGACCTGAACACTCAGCCAGTACTGAGAACCTGTTATTATGAAGAGCTACATTTTAATTATGCATGATCTATAAATGTGCAAATTTTGCCAAGCATGGTTCCCTGCTTGGTATCCAAAGCTTGTGCTTACCTGATCGTACTCTGCAATGCACAAAAAAGCACACTTCAGAAGAGAAAACAGATCCAGAAGAGAGAAAAAAGAATCCAGCATAGTGATCTGGGATTGCCATCAAAACTGCAAGTCAAAGGTCTGGTCTGCTCTAATTAACCATTTTATGGAAGTTAACAAAATGCCTTTTTTCCTCCTGGCACTATCTTCTTTGAGTGTCTTTGTTGTTTGGCCCTTTTTGCTGAGGTGCAAAATGCTTCACGAGTCAAACAGCTTAAAGAGCTCATTGATCTGGAAAGCTGTACAGAGAGGTGCTACATCATCTCACCACTGTCCAGAGTGAGCTGGCTGGACTAAAGGTAAAGTGCTGGCTGTGTCAGTGTTGGCTGCAGGGGAGAGGGTTTAACTGGATCAGAGCTGGCCTCTTGCAAAGAAGAGTTTGAGTAGAACCAGCACATGGTGGGGAAAAGGCCGTGTGTCCCTTTGCGAACAGGAGCCAATAGGAGTATCCTCCTGCGTACGCTTTCTGCCTGGGTCTGAGAAGTCCCCAGGAAAGATGTCAGCTGCGAATAGGATGCAGCTAGAGGAATTTTTGTGGCAGGCTGCTGCCAGCCTGTCCATCTCTGGGGTACAGCCCAGCCCTAGCCTGCCTTCCTATTTCTGCTTTCAGATTTTGTTTGTGTTGGAGGCAGCATTCCTGTGTTTCACAGAGACACGCTCAGGCATGGAACTCTGCTCCATCCTGGTTCATTTTCCAGACTAAAAACAAAATAGCAAGACTGATTCCTGTATGTCTGAGCTTTGTCACTTCTGTTAGCTGTTTTGATTTCCTAGATTGGAGGGGTGAGGGGGAACCCTACTGTTGCACATTTGAAATGCCTTGCCCTACATGCCTTTTCTTTTTATAGTCGTGTCACATTTTGCGCTATCAGCATTTCAGTTAAACCACTTCTAACTTTTCATCTGTCAAGTTCCTTCTTAAAAACAACAACAAAAAACCCCAGCTAACAATAAGACTTGAAATACCCTGAAAGGCAGAAATCAGATTTAAATCCCTGTGATGTGACCAGGTTTTGCCAAGTACACTGTTACGTGTTTGGTAAACTAAGCTGTCTCAAGCTTTGACAGAAGCTGATCTGGATTGATAGGAATCCCAGCAACGGTATTGTCTATGTGAATGTGCTGATCTGATAAAACATGGAAATGACTACAAGATAACAGATCAGCCACCTGATGGCAGGATTTGGAATTATGAATTACATCAAGCAAAGGTCAGTGTTATGCCAACAGGCAAGATGTGATCTGGTTGTCATACGGAGACTGCAGTGAAGTATATGTGCCTCACATTCCCTTGCTTTGTATGCTTCTTTGACTCAGGGCACTAATTATTTTGATGGTGTTGAGACAGGTTCTTTGGTTTTGTTATCAGCAGATCTAATCTAAAACTTCAAATACGAGTCATTCTAAACCTTTCCATCATGGTGAAAGAACATACTTAGCACACACATGCACATACAGGAAAAAAGCGGTTCCTAAAATGTTATGAGTTTCTGTTTTCAGTCACTTCAGAAGCAGGACTGATGGTACTTGCTCCCTGACACACTGGCATACCCTCCTTCACTCAGGTAGGTATAATAAACTGAATTCTCCTTTCCTCTTTACCTTTCAGTTTCTTATTCTTCACTCCTCAAAACCTCTCTCTCCCCTCCAATTACCCCCTTCCACTTTCAGAACCACATAGCAGCCCTGTTAGCACTTTTAAAAACATAGCGTGGTCATGATCATCTTATTGATTCATCCCTCAGTTTGCTAAGGAGTAGGATGTGTATTCCTATCTATCTTCACAGCGTTCCTTGACTCTCTCTCCCCTTCATAGAATCTTCTGTAGCCAATATGGGGAGACAGCAAAATCCAGTTCTTGTTCTCTAGTTTTCCCTGTAAAAGTTGCTTCTTCATATATCAGCAAGACTTGTTAGGATTTTAAGTTAAGCCCCAGTTGCTGATTTGGATTTTATTTTTTTTAATTAAATTGATACTTAGTTTTGTACACAACAGACCCTGACTGGCATTTAAGTACTGGCATAATAGAGGTTAAAATAGTCAGTCTGGGTTGTTCATGTCTCCTCAGTTGGTTCTGCAGGCTGTATTCAGCTCTTACCTATGCAGCTCCCTTGCATTCTGGTAATGCTTTCAGGGACCTTTCAGCAACCCAACTGTCTTCATTCACATGGAAAAGGTTAACAGGGATTTTATAAACAATTGTATTAATGCCTAAAGGATGAAGATCAGACTCTTTCTCAGTTCTATCTTGACTTTGCTAGATTTTCTTTCATTTCTAAGTTTACTGAGTCCAAGAATAAATGAGCAATTAAAGTTTTTCCAGTACTATTCTCACAGTTCTAAAATGTTACTGAAGTATTCTGTGACTCAGTTTGTCTTGCAATAAGACACCTTTTCTTGTATCTGAAATGCTCAAGAACATTGCTGCTATTGCTCAGTATTTCTTCTTTCTACAACCAAATCTCTGTTCTTCGTAAACCATTAATTTCTTGTGTTTCTCTTCATCAAGACTAGCTTTCCAAGGAACCAGCTGAGAGCTCAGAACAAAAGCAGGGAGAAGGAAGTGCTTACTGAAACTTCCCTAAAAATACCCCTTAGCAAACAGGATTGCTGTCCTGTCTGTTCTATTTATAATGCCCAGAAAGTGGAGCAGGGTTATTTCTTGAAGACAAGCATTGCTTTCTTAACCTAAACCTATTACACTGGTTATGCCAAAAAATCACTTGTTTTAAAGGGAAAAGGAACTAAATGCTGGCTTACCTTTCTGAAGAAGTATATACAAAGCTGGAAGTTGATCAGAAAAGACACCTGGTGACAGTGTAGGCATGTGAACAGAGAGCTCCACTTTGGAGACTAAAAGGAACCAGACTGCAGTTGGTTCTGTCACTGACAGTGACAGGAGGACTTAAGAGTATACAACCCTCCTGTTTGAACAGTGAGGCTTATGTAGCTTAGCCACCATGAGAATGAAAAATCTGTATAATGCCCAGATTAGTTAAGCCTTTACAAACTGTCTTTGTACCCTGACAGCTCTGTACTGTCACCTGGCTCAGAGATGCTTCCATACAAATACAGAGAAGAATTGGGAAGGAGGACATGAATTGCCAACTAATTTGCTTTCTGTTTTATAGCTACAGAATGCCTCCGCTCCTGGGTAACAGCAGTTCACATGAACAGGCTGCTGAACATTATGCATCAGAATCCATTGTCTCCATTGCTATCTTCATCATCATTTTCATCATAGGTATCCCAGGCAATGGACTGGTGATATGGGTAGCTGGTCTGAAAATGAAAAGGTCTGTGAATATTGTCTGGTTCCTAAACCTTGCTGTGGCTGACTTCATTTGCTGCCTATCCTTGCCATTTTCCGTTGTTCACCTGGCCCTCCATGAACACTGGCTGTATGGTTGGTTCCTCTGCAAAGTCATCCCATCAGTCATAATCTTCACCATGTTTGCTAGCGTCTTCCTACTGACAGCCATCAGCATTGACCGGTGCCTTCTTGTGATGAAACCTATCTGGTGTCAAAATCATCGAACAGTGAAACCTGTATTACTAATATGCAGTGGCATTTGGATCCTGGCCTTCGTTTTTTGCTGTCCTGTCTTCCACTACCGTGAGACTAGCAGTCATGATGGCAAAACTGAGTGTGGGTACAATTTTGGAGATCACATAGTGCCAGATTATGTGGATAGTCCTGTAAATGAGTTACAGGAAGAATACTCACTGTTAGACTACAGTCGTAATGACTCCTTGGTTAACGTCTATGAAGGTGATTATCCTGTGTCACTTGCCTTAGTGGCAATAAACATCACTAGGGCTGTCTTTGGCTTCATGCTCCCCTTTGGCACAATGGCAGTTTGCTATGCCCTCATTGTTTTCCGAACACATGCAAAACAGCTTCACAAGCCACACAACAGAATGCTGAAAACAGTTGTGCTTGTGGTAGCTGCATTCTTCATTTGCTGGGCTCCATACCACATAGTTGGGATTCTGTACCTTATACCTACTCTGGGAACACGACTGGGGCAGTCATTGATCCTCTGGGATTACCTCTCTACAGCACTTGCATATGCCAACAGCTGCATCAATCCCCTGGTCTATGTTTTTGTGGGGCGGGACTTCAGGGCAAAGGCAAGACACTCACTGCAAGGAATCTTGGAAGGTGTCTTTACTGAGGAGTCAACACGTTCCATCCCCTGCTCTCTTCACAGAGGCAAGACTTCAGCAGAGAAGAACACGAGCAGCACAGTGTAATGCAAGACTTCTGATCACCACTGTAGAAATAGGAGCTATGGCCCCACACATCCCTCTCCACTTAACAGCTTTTTTTTTTTCTCCAGCACATTTGATTAATCTGCAGCTCCACATACAAAGCACTGAAATGGTTCAGCTCACAACAGCAAACCCCCTTTAGATACTACAGAGATGGGAAGTTGAAGTACCAAGAGTAATAATGTCAGGGAAAATAGTGGTGAAGGAGACAAGAGTAGTACTTCAACCTTTAAAGATGAAAGCAGGCTGGCAGGATGATTTGTGGTGGGATCATGTAGTTTAACCTCTGAATTGCTAGAGGAGAACATCATTAGAGTTATTTGCATGTCTACATTCTACATCTCCTGTCTCTGATAAACGGCAGATGAAAGCAACTTTTGATGTCTCCTTGGAATCTGTCATCTTGTTTTCCCTCTCCTTTGAATGTACCTGGGGTCTGAGGGTTGGCTTTTTTCCTCTGAACATTTTCCTAGAGGGTAGTGCTACATCTTCTTACAGCAGTGCATTAGCAGAGCACTTGCCCTAGTAAGCTTCATTGAGCTGACTTCCATGCCCTGGTAGATGATGCCCAAGATGTTTCTTTGTCCTGGCAAATACACCACTGTATGGCAGTAACTGGTCAAATGCACATGCTATGGCTATATTCACTCCCTCTACCCCTGGAGTCCCAAATCTTCCTTTTAGGAGGTACATGCAAATGTACCTACTGCATTTTAAAATGACACACCAGCAGAATTTGAGCAACTGCACTCATTGCTGAACCAGATTAGGTGGCTGCTGGACTGTCAGGCACTTCGTAAAGCCTTGGAATTGAGAAGTAATAACCTCCACTCTGACCCCAAGAAGGTGGGGAATAAGCCTGTTGCAGTACAGTCATAACCTGCTCTCATGTCTTGCTGGTGGAAGAGGAGAAAATTGTGCCCCGTCAGGCTAGTTGGGGGCGTTTTCCAAGTCTGGATACTCTCTGCTCCTGAAAAGCACAAGCACATTTCCAAGGAACTCTGAAGTGGTTTAAAAACCACCTTTGTGTGTTAGTCCTTCCCTAAGGGAGTAAACTAAATACATGGTCTGACAAACAGTCCCTAAGCACTGGCATAATTTTTCTTTGCCTTTCTGGCAAGCACAAGTTGAGAGACTCACTGATGTCTGTGCCCTGAGAACTTTAGACATCTTAAAAAGTCTTGGTCTTGAAGTACACAGCAGTGGGGGCTGTTCATTTAGCCCCTAAATTCTGGTTCTGATGTAAGTAGGTGGGAACCATGCCCACCAGCCGGGCGCCGCTGGCAAAGAAGTCAATACTGGCACCAAGAGGGTTAAACCATAAACATTCACTTTTTGTTTTTATTAAGAAAGCATGCACAAAAATAAACTCGTGAGACCACGCTCCTCTCTCCTGGCCCCTGACACAAAGCACGGGGGGGGGCCTGCAGAGGGGGACTGGCACCGCGCACCCTGCGGACCTCCACACGCCTGCCCAGGGCCAAACCACGCACCAACAACACACATTTATCTCAGGGCAGAGGAACGAGGCTGATTTGCACACTGACCGGCATGTATTTACATATGCAAATGAGGCACAACTTAATATGCAAATGAGGCAAATATGAAAATGAGGAGCACTTTATAGGCAGAAGGAGCCATCACAGTTGGTTTCTCTTCTGGTGGTGTTTTCAGACTTCCACAGGGCTGGCTCTCAGTAATACCCTCTGCAAAGCACTAACTGGCACCCACTGGAGGTCATCTCTCCTGGTTGTCTCTGGTGCCACTTTCCACAGAAACCTAACACACATGCCTCCGAGCTGTATCATTCCCATCCTGAGGCAGCAGAGAGAATAGCTGACTCCACGCTGCAGTTGTCTGGGATTCCTCATTTCTCTTGGAAACACTCAATGATGAACTCCCCCCCAAAAAAAACACACTTAAAAGGGAGGAAAAAAAAAAAAAAAGAAAAATGTCCACCCTCCCAATCCAGGGAGACTCTGTCCACCTCCCTGACAAAGATCCAATTACTTTATTCCTACAGCAAATTTAAAAAGCAATGCTAGTTCCCCACATTCCTGCAGTCAGAGTAGAGGTTATTGCTCCCCTGCCCCAAATCTGTCAAGTAGTCCTAATGTTTTATTTCTATCCTGGTTCCCTTCACTGGTGAACAGGGAATAAAGGCTGGGGGGAGGCTTTACAAAATATTAAGAAGAAACAAGAGGTTTGACAGAACGGAGCCAATACCAGCAAAAAGGGGAACAGGGGACACAGCTTTGGGGAGGCATCTCAACACTCACTCCTGCTCCTGCACCTTTTCCACCTTCCTGATTCACAAGTGCTGACAAAACCTATCCTTTGGGATTTACACTAGATTCCACAATCTCCCCAGCTGAATTGCAAAGGGGTCTGACCCACCCTCCTCTATTCTATACTACACTTTGGCTGTTCATTTTAATAATCTGCTCCACTTCATCCTCTCTTCTAATGCACCTCGTAGAAAAAACACTCGTGAGGGCCTCCCAGTTACTAGACCAGAGGGTCCAGCCCCTTGCCCATCATCCTGTCATTCACCTCCACTCTGAGCAGCAGCTTACTCTTCCCACCACAGCCCATTCACACAGTGGGAACCGCCAACAAGAGCCCTGTTGCTGCCGGTACTCTTGAACCACAGGCAAGAGCAGTCTCCAAAGAAATCCGAAGGCTGGAGGATCAAACAACAACTGAACAAATACCGATGGGAGAAAACCTCCAAATTTGCATATGCAAGTAAGAGCCTCAATACTATTTTGAAGAAGGGCTTGAAGGGATGGGGGGTGAAGTTAAAAGCTCTGGGGAATAGAATTTGCTGAATCACATGCGACACCCCTGACTGCTTCTTTTACCTGATGGGCATGTAGGCTTCACCCGGAGACCATAAAAGGCAGTGTAGAAAATAGGCTGGGATTCCCTTAAAATCTCCCTCCGTTGTCACAGATGGCACTGCATTCCAAAACCCAACTTCTCTGCTACATTCTCCTTCCTCCAAAACTCAGGTCAACCCTCCCAGCTCACCTCAGCTCTCCCTGCCTCAGGGATTACCCTCTTTTTGTACTTGGGAACTCCTTTTCCTGCTGGTGCAAGAAAGTTCACAGAGCTAAGATCACTTCCCCAGTGTCCCTTTAGCCCCCGGACCTTTACAACATTTACGAAACAACAGAACTACAGGCTCCCAGGGTCTGCTAGGTTCTCCCACTCCAGTAGCCAATACAACAACTTCACTGGCCACCTTGAAGGGAAAGAGGGATTGTTAAACGCAAAATGACAGAGGCAGAGAAAGATGCACTCAAGGATTCAGCCTTCCAAGGTCTTTTCATGGCACCAAGGACACATCTTTCCACCCTCCACAGGGCACCACGCAACACTAAGAGCCAATCTGATGCGTCCAAGGCCACCGGGGGGGGGGGGGGGGGCTGTGCTCAATTATTGGTAATAATAATAACAATAATAATAATAATAAACAAAAGAAGAAAAAGAAGATAAAACAGGACGCAAGGAAGGATTATCTTCGGCAGCATCTTGCGGTGGCTTCTCTGGCGGAGATAGAGAATATATATCTATATACAGGCAAGGCAGGGAGGCTGGGGAGGGTGGTGCTGGCACCAGTGACCCCATGTCTCCCTCCCCTCCCGCGTCCTTCACAAAGGACGGGCTATCAAGTCTGTAACTCGTTAGGTGATCAAGTCCCAGTCAAAATCATCGGGGATTTCCTCAGTGGCGCCTGGAGGAGGCCCTGGAGGCCGAGGAACCAGATGGTGAGCTGCCCAAAACCAACAGAAAAATAGAACAGAAAGGAAAGAGAACAGTTAGAATTAAAAATGTCACACTTTTTTCACAGTGGGCCCTTGGGCAAAAGAAAGCATAAAGAGATTTGGGCCTTCTCCTTTCCAACAGTTGAACAAGCAAGAACAGTAGTGGCATGATTTTCTCTGTCAGACAGCACCTACCAATGTCTGTAGGTTGTCTGCTATAAAATTCTCTGCAGCAGCTTCTACAGAGGTTAAGTTTGAGTCTCCTTAACCTTCCTTACAGCTTACTGCTGATGGACCACAAAGGACTTCATCAACAGAAGCTTCTTGTGTAAAGCTGCCTTCAAGCAAATGAGGACAAGGCTGAGCTAGAAGACTATTTGTGTGAAGTGAAAGAAATCAGGCCACTGAAATCCTAAACCTTGCCAGAGCTATGGCACAGACCTAAATGGAGGGTCCCTTGTAATCCAATCTCCTTCTCTACCCTCAGTGCTCCATTTGATTAACAAGTGCTTTGGGAGAAATGCACAAAGGGCTTGGGAACCAGCTCTTTGATGTTCCCTGGTATAATACACCTTAATCACAGAATCAATAGACTGGTTAGGGTTGGAAAGGACCTTAAGACCACCTAGTTCCAACCCCCCTTGCCATGCGCAGGGACACCCCACAGGAGACCATGTCACCCAAGGCTCCGTCCAACCTGGCCTAGAACACTGCCAGGGATGAAGCATTCACAACTTCTTTGGGCAGCCTCACAGTAAAGAACTTCTTCATTATATCTAACCTGAACTTCCCCTGTTTATTTTTGGACCCATTACCCCTTGACCTATCACTACAGTCCCTGATGAAGAGTCCCTCTCCAGCATCCTCTGTTAAGTCCTCTTCAGATACTGGAAGGCTGCTGTGAGGTTTCCACACATTCTTCTCTTCTCCAGTTTGAATAGCCCCAGCTTTCTCAGCCTGTTTTTGTATGGGAGGTGCTCCAGCCCCTGATCATCCTCATGGCTTCCTCTGAACTTGCTCCAACAGCTCCATGTCCTTCTTATATTGAAGACACCAGAACTACATACCCCTTACCTGTAATGTCACCCCTTACCTGGGCGATTATATCCTGGAGAGTCCTGGGTGGAAATCTGGTACATAGGTGATGGCCCGGAGAAGAGATGGGGGGGCTGGGGCTGGCCATAGGAGCTCACTGTGAAAGGAGTAAAAAAAAACCCCAAAACCAAATCAACAAAACAAAAACAAAAAACAAAGAAAACCAACCAAAAAACCTAACCCCCCAAAAAAAAACAAAACCAAAATAAACCAAAGTGTCAATGTTCTGGTCAGCTGTCTTGGCCCTGACTGGGTGGCGGCTCAGCCACAGAGCAACTCACTCAGACCCACAGGATACTGCGGGAGATGTTCAGCTCTTGGGTCCTAACTGCAAGCTATAGCTTGGTCAGAGATCTTGTTCTTTGGAGCCAGCAGGAGTTCCTCTACTATTGTAAAAGAAGAACATTTTCATCCAGAAGCACAAGCTGGCTCAGTATCATCCATTTAACTCTGTATTAGACAACGCACACCATCACAGCTCTATCAAGACCATAATATCCTCTGTGCTC